TACCGGACAGCGCCCGGACTACAGGAGTAACAGGCCCCGCGGCTCAAGTAGCGGCAGACGGGCAACGGACCCACGGGCGGCTGGCGTAGAAGTCTAGCTCACTGGGCTACCGGGACAGCGCCCCGGACTACAGGTGCTGCTGACGACAAACTGGCAACCTCCGCTCATCCTCCCGCACACAGTCCCACCCCCCTAATACACACCCACTGCTACACCGCTAGCTCTACTTCCACGCACCCCCCTTAAACCCTAAACCCCAGTCTCCCACACAACCACCCCCCTCAGCGACAGCTGCAGCAGTGGGAGACGAAGGAGGAGGAGGAGCAAAGGGAGGAAGGCACACCGGCCACCCCCATACCTGCCACCCCACAGCTCGCCCCAGAAATGGCAGGGGGGAGGGGGGGGGGTGGAGGGGAGGCGGTGGGGTGAAAGGGGGGGCCCACCACGGGCCTGGTTGGAGGGCGGGGCCGCGACAAGGGGCGGGGCCGCGACGTAGGGCGGGGCCGCTTCGAGGGGCGGGGCCGCGACGTAGGGCGGGGCCGCGACGTAGGGCGAGGCCGCGACGTAGGGGCGGGGCCGCGACGGTTGGGGCGGGGCCGCGACGTAGGGCAGGGCCGCTTCGAGGGGCGGGGCCGCGACGTAGGGCGGGGACAGCGGGGCCGCGACGGGTCCCCGTCGCCTGTCGCGACGCACGTGGCGAACGCCGCGAGGCAGCCGCCCGCCGCGCGCCTCGGGGCGCACAGCGGGCAGAGAACCGCCGCGCGCCTCGGGGCGCACGGCGGGCAGAAAACCGCCGCGCGCCCCGGGGCGCACGGCGGGAGGAAAAAGTAGCAGCGGAAGCAAGGTGGGGACACACCCACAGGATCAATCCAAGGGGATCGACCTGCTCTGATACCATGTTAGAATCCCAACCACTAGACCATTGGGATAAAAGGGCTTGTTTCAGTAGCGGGTCGGTGCGCCCATAACCCCCCAGGCGAACGCGTCTGTAACCCTCTCCAGGATCAATCGGGCATCCACAGTGCAGATCTACTGACACCCCCCCACACTAGGAGGCCTAGGACTAAGCACAACGGCAACGGCCTATATGTGCATACACCGGGAATCGAACCCGAGACCGCTCTGAATACCATCTCAGAATCCCAACCACTAGACCATTGGGATAAAAGGGCTTGTTTCAGTAGCGGGTCAGTGCGCCCATAACCCCCCAGGCAAATGTGCCTGTAACCCTTCCCTAGGATCGATCGGGGATCACCAGTGGACCTCTGACACAAGTGACTCGTAACCGGGTCTCGATGCAAACAATGCGTAGCCTGTGTGCTGGCAGAATGAATAAACCGTAACCTGCAAAAGAAAAGGCAATGGATGCGGAAGGCTCGAGCAGCACATAACGTTAAATAAACCAGATAAATACGCACCTAGTGAGACATCACGTAAAACGGACCTGTACGGTCGGGATCAAAACCGAAGGTTCGATGCAAGGGTGCAAAACTGCCGACCATGGGTGTCGCGTGGAGGCGATACTTGTGCTACCGCCTGCAGAGAGGTCAACAGAACAACACACCGACGCCTAAGCTTGGGACTAGCAAACTAATACCGCCAGCGTTTAGGACAAACTCACGAAGAAAAAATTACGACGTGACCCATGAAACGGTCGTCCTCTGCACGTGCGCTGCGCTGTCCACTACACCAGCTGCCAACGCCCCCGATGAGTCGCCCCCCATGCGATCTGGGTCTGCGATAGTCTATTCCCTGCGACAATAAACAGACACGCGTAGTATGGTATTTTACGGAACTCCATCGAGGACGAACGTCGATGATAATGAGGGTGGCGCAGTGGCGCCAAACATTCAGGACGGCGATGGAGCACCGCCAGGCGCGGAAGAAGCCATGGACGAACCGTTCGTCAAGGAGGATGAAGGAGATGGCAGTCCTGCTATCTCTAGGGTTGCCGCAGGCACTGATGTGGTTGACAAGGAGTTTGAAGGTATGCACCGAGCTCACCTTGGGACACGGGCTGTGTTTGGTTGCCATATAGGCTTGCGCTTGCGAGCAACACCGTATTATCTCTATCGCAGATCCTCTTTCGTTCCTTGCGCATGTTTTTACCCTCTACAGAGGCGCACGCTAGCTAGAGGCCATTGGACGACGTGCACCAGGCGGCGCCGCACGTGGCGATCATGACTCTAGGGGCTAATGGCCCAAACAGGATGCGGGATCCCGTGCAAATAGGGGGACACAGGCAGCTCTGGTCGACGAGGCGTTGGCGGCTCATCTTCGCGCACGCGAGCGTGAGGTGTATGAGCTGCGCAATCAGCTGCGTACCACGGAGGCATGTCGTGCCACGGCCCAAGCTCATCCAGCTCCGGCTGTCCCACTCACACCACGCCCACGACGCTCGGCGAATGACGTGCCTGCGCCAAGCATCACCACGCTCCCTCAGGAACAAGCGCCGGACGCACCAAGGACCCCGTTTGTCGCCCATGCGCTTGCACGTGAGACAGCGGCGACTATGGGTCGCCATGGGGCACCGACTATGGGTCTCATCGTGTGGGCGGATACGCTCAAGCAAGCACACTGTGTGGTTCCAAGGCTTGACAATGGGTGGAAGGTAGGACACTGTCACGAATTAGTATACGATTGCAAACCGAGACGTCGGAGTTAATATCTGTTATTGTTTCACTGATGTGCTACCCCCAACCTATTCAGGAAGCTGTTGGCGACGGGATCGTGATTGTTGTATACGACACCCGCGTGCGCCGAATGAGCTTCTAGCCCTCGCAGCCTCTCATGGAATCTGTGATCGCCCGCGCGCTCTGCCTGCACATCCGCGCACAGAAGCACATGCTGCACCCTGTGATGCAGTACGATTCCGCTCGCTCTAGGTGGTTCGTTCACAAGATGCAGCTGTATCGTAACACGAGATGGGAGCCGGGAAGGGCTTATCTTTACGTTCTGCTCGGGCTCCCATATGATCCTCCCACGTTTTCGCGTGTCACAGTTCCAATTCTGCCAGCGAGTGGGACAATGGCGCCCATCTCTCGTCAGAAGTTTACAAGCACTCATCGGGCGGGTAAAGGTCCGTGATTTACATGTGAACTGCTCTTGGGTGAGTTGGCCAATGTATGACACTTTACGTCCTTTCGCCTTGGTCATGCCAGACGCAGGGTCCCACGAGCTCATGGTGTGGCACGTGTGTAACGGCCTGCCGTTCGCATCGGACGTTCGAGTGAGGAGTCTACGGATCATTCCACCGGCCGTACCCTCCTCCACTGGTGCTCCGCACGTACGCCATTGCATTTTAGCTGTACGGGATGAGTGTATTGGCTTTTACGTGTCAAGAGTTATTTAATAGGTCCTGATGTTCCACTAACATAGCTGCCGTGCATTGCAAAAGCAGGTGGAGTACCCGTTAATCAACGGCAATCAGTGTCAAGCTATATTTGTTATAGCTTCTATTGTTAGTCTAGGTGTACTTTCTACTTGTTGGGGTTAGGGTTAGGTTTCCTATACACTTGTACTTTCCACTTCTAGTCATTTCTTATTTCTCAACATGGTATAGAGCTAGGTTTACCCTAGCTAGGGTTTCCCCTAGCGTTTTAAGTCTCGATAATTGGGCCCACCGGAATCGCTACTAGAGCGCGCCCCGTCCTAACGCGCGCCCCTTAGCTCGTCGCCCGTCGCCCGTAGCGCGCCCGTCGTCCGCAGCTCTCCCGTCGCCCGTCGCTTTTCCGTCGCCCGTCGATTTTCCCCTCCCGTCGCCCGTCGATTGTCGATTTCTCCCCTCCCGTCGCCCGTCGCCCGTCCTCCGTCGCCCGTCTCCCTTCGACCGTAGGAACTGACCCCGCGGCCCCGCGGCCCTTTTGATAGCGTGCCCCGCGGCCCTTTCGATAGCGTGCCCCGCGGCCCTTTCGATAGCGTGCCCCGCGGCCCTTTCGATAGCGTGCCCCGTGGTCCCGTCGTCAGTCGCACGCACGCGCAGCAGCAGCCGCGCGCACGTGGCGCCACCGCTGCCTTACCCGCCGCCCCACCTGTCACCCGCCCCCCCACGAGTTGAAACCCGCCGCCCCACCTGACACCCGCTGCCCCACGAGCTGCCTCACCCGCCGCCCCACCAGTTAGCCTCAGCCCCTCCAACTAGCCACACCTGGAAACCATAGTCTACCACCCGTACCCGCTGAACCGCACAGAACCGCACAGAACCGCACAGAACGGCACAGAACGGCACAGAACCGCACAGAATCGCACTCCACCCATGCTAGCTCCCCTGGAACTGCACAGAACCGCATTCCACCCGTGCTAACCCCCCCTGGAATCGCACAGAACCGCACTCCACCGCCCTAGACCGTTCCTCAACCGCATCCGACCGCACTGAACCCCTCTCACAAGCACCAGAACCGCACTCAGCCGCATTCCACCGCACCAGGCCTATATACTGATACTGGAACATCGGCGTGTCACAGTTGGCAATCTTTTACATTCAATGATATACACTGCGTTATTCCTTCATTCCGTTCGCTAAAAGCCAGTCAACTCGACCAGGCCCTGGATTTCATCAGGAATCTTTCTGCACCGTCTCATAAGCATATAAAGTAAATATAATGAAGAGCCACTGCGGGGCAAATGCCGAAGCTTCCGGTTCCGGCGCTCCGGGAGCAGCAAAACGATCGTCTTTAGCTCCAGCAGCGGCGGCGACAGCGGAACCACTCTTAACCGTAGCGCGAACCCGCCGATCCACCGGGGCTCCCATCATCCTGCTGACGTGTTTTTCCGCGCTAGTACTCATCGCCTTAGCAGTAACCGGATGGGTGGCGCCTCCGGGAACCCTCAGCGCACTCGCTTGGGGAAGCGGGGGGGGAAAGGGGGATTGGAGGGAAAGGAAGGGGGAGCGGAACGGAGAGGGCGAGGGGGAGGGGAATGGGAAATGGGAAGGGGAGAGGGAGCCTATGGAGAGGGAATGCGCCATGACGTACATGTGGCCTGATTACGTCCCCATTCCCATGCACAACCGGACTCTGGAGAAACAAGGACTTGACGCAAGTGAGTACAGCCCCTCCCAACCCAACACTTCCCAACCCCTCTGTACAGCTTGTTCTTGTACCGAGAAGAAGGCCACACCTAGGGAGACAGCAGCAAGGGGGAAATGAAGAGAGGTTTCTGCCATACCGCCCCTGTGCTTCCTCATCTGCGCTGACCCTCCTTTACCATGCCCCCTCTTTACACTTCCCAGCTTCAGTGTACAGTTTGTTCTTATACCGAGAGGGCCGCACCTGGGGAGGCAGCAGCAGTGAGGAGGAGAAGAGCCTCTGTGGAACGGTTCCTGTGCTCTTTATCCCTGGGAATGCGGGCTGCTACAAGCAGGTAATGCAATGTGATGCCGGTCTTTACAGGCAGGTGTGTTGCGTGGATAAAACACGCCACACTAGGTTCTTCCAAGCAGTGAGGAGGAGAAGAAGAGCCTCTGTGGAACGGGTTCTGTGCTCTTTATCCCCGGGAATGCGGGCTGCTACAAGCAGGTAATGCAATGTGATGCCGGTCTTTACAGGCAGGTGTGTTGCGTGGATAAAACACGCCACACTAGGTTCTTCCAAGCAGTGAGGAGGAGAAGAAGAGCCTCTGTGGAACGGGTTCTGTGCTCTTTATCCCCGGGAATGCGGGCTGCTACAAGCAGGTGATATCTAGCAACAGGTGATGTGATGCTGGTTGTTACAGTCAAGTGTGTTGCATGGATAACTCGCCAATCTAGGGCAAGCAGTTAAGAGGAGGTGAAGAGGGGTCCCTTTGGGGCTGTGCCTGTGCTCTCCATGTTTGAAATGTGGCGGTTGCTACAAGCAGATAACGCCTATAACCGACTCTGTAGTCTGTCTGATACCAATGCTCTTTCGTCTTGCTAAAGATCTGCGTGATTTTGTTTGTGTCACTTCGGGCAGTTCTCAAAGGTGACACGAACATAACCAATGCCAGTGCTCTTCGTCTTGCTCAGTCGCTTTCACCAACCAACTCTGTAATGCTGAGGCCAGTGCTCAGGATCTGCGTGATTCTGTTTGTGTCACTTCTGACAGTTGTCAAAAGTGACACAAACATGACCAAATCTGTACTTCTGATGCCAGCGCTCAAGATCTGCATGAACTGTAAGACAATCATAAACATGCCTTTTAAGATATCCCTGTCTGTCACTATGTTTTTTCACATGCGCTCCCCCCACTTTACCTGTCCCCTCTTCTCCCCATCATTCATTCAGGTGCGTTCCCTCGCATCTGTCTCCCACCACACCTACCACGCCTCTCATGCTCAACGCGAATCAAGGAACAGCCCTCCCTGCTTCGCCTGTTCAGACGAGCCAGACTCAGAGCCTCTCACACCAGCGAAACCAGCAGCAGACTCAGACGGAAAGAAAGAGTCAGGGAAAGCGAGGGGAGAAGCTGCAGCAGGAACGTGGAAGGGGGGGCGGGGATCAGCAGCGTACCCATCTCGCCTGGTGTGGTTCTCCGTGGATCTGAGGGAGCATCTCTCTGCTCTTCACAGCGCTCTGCTGCACAAACAGGCGGCCTTCGTTGCTGCTGCTGTCACTCAGGTGGGTGCTGAGGTGTATGTGGGTGGGTTGTGCGCTCGTGGGTGTGTGTGTGCTCGTGTGGGCCTGTACATGTGTCCGTGTGGATCTGAGGGAGCACCTCTCTGCTCTTCACAGCGCTCTGCTGCACAAACAGGCGGCCTTCGTTGCTGCTGCTGTCATCCAGGTGGGTCTTGAAGAGTGTTTGTGTGTGTGTGTGTGTGCGCGCGCGTGTGTGTGTGTGACCTGTATGTATGTGCTTGTGTAGATGTTAGCTCTGCACTATCTCCAGCTTATTCCCCTCTCTTTGCAATTTCAGTCTCTTCTCTTCCCACTTCCCTGTGCTGCAATCGTGGGGCACTTAATGAGGATTTTGTTCTTTCTGGGACCTCTATGTGAGTTGTTCTGTCTCGCCTACCCGTTCCCCCTCTCCCCTATAAGCCCTCTCAGGTCGTGGCCCTCTACAGTTCCTCCCGTGCTTCCACGCCGGCCCGCTCGTCCTCTCTGATTCCTCCTCTCTCCTCTCCCCATCCCCCTCTCTCGTCCCCTCCCTCACCCCACCCTCTCAGATCCTCTCCCTCTACCGTTTCTCCTGTGCCTCCACGCCTACACCCCCGCCCCCTGTGCTGCTAGTGGGGCATTCAATGGCGGGGATAGTCGCGCTGGCCCACAGGAGACTCACAGGGGGGGGAGATGTGAACGAGGGAGGGGACGGGAAGGACACGTGGAGAGGGAGGGGGAGGACACGCAGACAACTCATCTTGTGCCTTACTCTCTCTTCTTCTCCCCTCCCCCTCCTCCCCCCATCCCTCTCTCTCCCCTTCCCTCAACCCCCTCAGATCCTCTCCCGCTACTGTTCTTCCTGTTTCCACGCCCGCTCGCCCATCCTCTGTGCTGCTAGTGGGGCATTCAATGGGGGGGATAGTGACGTCGCCGCCTGGCCCACAGGAGACTCACAGGGGGAGGAGACGCGAGAGAGGAATTTGGGCTGCCTTAGAAACCACAACCCAGCCACCCTTTGTCTGGGCTGCGGGTGGGGCATTCAATGGGTGATTCTTCCCCTCCCCTCCCCCACTACTCCCCTCTAACCCATCAGATCCTCTCCCTCTACAGTGCGTCCTGTGCTTCCACGCTCACCCACCCGCCCTCTGTGCTGCTAGTGGGGCACTCCATGGGGGGGATAGTCGCCCGCCTGGCCCACAGGAGACTGCGAGGGGGAGGAGGTGTGAGAGAGGGACGGAATAGGGTGATGGAAGAAGAGGTGAAGGAGTGTGCGTGGAAGGACGAGGCACAAGAAGGAGGAGGAGGAATACAGGAGCTGGAGAGAGGGCATTGTAGCATTGTCCATGAGGAAGGGAGCAGACATGATTCAGTGCACACTATTGTCACCATCGCCACACCACACAGGCAGGTCTCTTAGGAGAACTTTTCAGACCTTAGTCAGGTCTCTCTAAAGTCACCGCACAGGCAGGTCTCTCAAAAGTCACCACACAGGCAGGTCTCTCAAAAGTCACCGCACAGGCAGATCTCTCAAAAGTCACCGCACAGGCAGGTCTCTTAGAAGCGCTGCCTGCCTGTCGTAACCTTGAGATGTGTCTTACTTGCACCCTCGCTTTGCGTCTGAAGAGGCGCCAATTCCCCCCCTCTGTTTTCATCCATTGACCCCCCATGCTCCCCCCCCATTCTCCCCCCCTCCCCCCCCCCCCCCCCCCCCCCCCCCCCCCCCCCGGCCTCCCCATTCTCCCTCCCTGCAACCATCCATGCTCGCCCTCATTCCTCCCTCAGCCACCACTCTTTCACGCGAATTCTGGAAATTCTCACCTCCCTCCCCTTTTCCCATTGTTCTCATTGTTTTCATCTCCCCATCCCATTCCATCCTACCTCCCCCTCCCGTTTCCCCTCTTCCCTCCCTCTTCACTCCCCGTTTTCCCCATTTTCCCCCAGCCTCTTCCCCCTCCCCCTCCAGCCGTCAATGCATGCCCTCTATCAGTCCCTCATCCAGCACACCCCCAACTCTCCCTCCTCTGCTCTGCTCCTCGCCTCTCTTGCTGCCGGCCGGAGTGACTGGCAGGTGAGATTGGCTGGCGAGATTGGCATCGTGCCACGTGTCAGCTTACCACTGGTTGCCCTGCCATCCCACACGCACACCAATCCCACCCTTCCCAGCGCTCTCCCTCCTCCTCTCTGCTCCTCGCATCGTTTTCTGCTGGCTGAAGAGATTGGCAGATGAGATTGGCAGGTGACATTGGCAGGTGACATTGACAGGTGAGATTGGCAGGTGAGATTGGCAGGTGAGATTGACAGGTGAGATTGGCAGGTGCGATTGGCAGGTGAGATTGGCAGGTGAGATTGGCTGGTGAGATTGGCAGGTGAGATTGACAGGTGAGTTTGGCAGGTGAGATTGGCAGGTGAGATTGGCTGGTGAGATTGGCAGGTGAGATTGGCAGGTGAGATTGGCAGGTGAGATTGGCAGGTGAGATTGACAGGTGAGTTTGGCAGGTGAGATTGGCAGGTGAGATTGGCTGGTGAGATTGGCAGGTGAGACTGGCTGGTGAGATTGGCTGGTGAGATTGGCAGGTGAGATTGGCAGGTGAGATTGACAGGTGAGATTGGCAGGTGAGATTGGCAGGTGAGATTGGCAGGTGAGATTGACAGGTGAGATTGGCAGGTGAGATTGGCAGGTGAGATTGGCAGGTGAGATTGACAGGTGAGATTGGCAGGTGAGATTGGCAGGTGAGATTGACAGGTGAGATTGGCAGGTGAGATTGGCAGGTGAGATTGGCAGGTGAGATTGGCAGGTGAGATTGACAGGTGAGTTTGGCAGGTGAGATTGGCAGGTGAGATTGGCTGGTGAGATTGGCAGGTGAGATTGGCAGGTGAGATTGGCTGGTGAGATTGGCAGGTGAGATTGGCAGGTGAGATTGGCAGGTGAGATTGGCAGGTGAGATTGGCGGGTGAGATTGGCAGGTGAGATTGGCAGATGAGATCGGCAGGTGAGATCGGCAGGTGAGATTGGCAGGTGAGATTGGCAGGTGAGTGAGATTGGCAGGTGAGATCGGCAGGTGAGATTGGCAGGTGAGATTGGCTGGTGAGATTGGCAGGTGAGATTGACAGGTGAGATTGGCAGGTGAGATTGGCAGGTGAGATTGGCAGGTGAGATTGGCAGGTGAGATTGGCAGGTGAGATTGGCAGGTGAGATTGGCAGGTGAGATTGGCAGGTGAGATTGGCAGGTGAGATTGGCAGGTGAGATTGGCAGGTGAGATTGGCAGGTGAGATTGGCAGGTGAGATTGGCAGGTGAGATTGGCAGGTGAGATTGGCAGGTGAGATTGGCAGGTGAGATTGGCAGGTGAGATTGGCAGGTGAGATTGGCAGGTGAGATTGGCAGGTGAGATTGGCAGGTGAGATTGGCAGGTGAGATTGGCAGGTGAGATTGGCAGGTGAGATTGGCAGGTGAGATTGGCAGGTGAGATTGACAGGTGAGATTGGCAGGTGAGATTGGCAGGTGAGATTGACAGGTGAGATTGGCAGGTGAGATTGGCAGGTGAGATTGGCAGGTGAGATTGGCAGGTGAGATTGACAGGTGAGATTGGCAGGTGAGATTGGCAGGTGAGATTGGCAGGTGAGATTGGCAGGTGAGATTGGCAGGTGAGATTGGCAGGTGAGATTGGCAGGTGAGATTGGCAGGTGAGATTGACAGGTGAGATTGGCAGGTGAGATTGGCAGGTGAGATTGACAGGTGAGATTGGCAGGTGAGATTGGCAGGTGAGATTGGCAGGTGAGATTGGCTGGTGAGATTGGCCTCGTGCCACGTGTCAGCTTACCACTGGTTGCCCTGCCATCCCACACGCACACCAATCCCACCCTTCCCAGCGCTCTCCCTCCTCTTCTCTGCTCCTCGCATCGTTTTCTGCTGGCTGAAGAGATTGACAGGTGAGACTGGCTTGGCACCAGATATCACGATTTTTAAGGCACCTAAAACATGCTCCTTGCATCACTTGCTCCTGGTTGCAGTGACTGGCAGGTGAGATTGGTCTGGCACCAGATAGATATGACCTGAAGTGGCAGATGTGCGGCAGATACACATGTTGAGTATTCTGAAAAGTGATACGCATATGATTCAGGAGGCAGAGACATGCACTCAGTGCTCCCCTCTCTTTTCCTCTCAGTCCACCTCTTGTGATACTTCCACCACCGCTACCCGCTCGCTCTCCTTCATTGTTTCTCCTTCATTGTTTCTCCTTCATTGTTTCTCCTTCATTGTTTCTCCTTCATTGTTTCTCCTTCATTGTTTCTCCTTCATTGTTTCTCCTTCATTGTTTCTCCTTCATTGTTTCTCCTTCATTGTTTCTCCTTCATTGTTTCTCCTTCATTGTTTCTCCTTCATTGTTTCTCCCACACTCTCTCGTCGCTTCACTTCACACTCTTATGCCCCCACCCACCCTTCTTTCCTCTCCTTTCCCCCCCGTCTCCTTTCCCCCCCATCTCCTTTCCGCCTCATCTCCTTTCCGCCCCATCTCCTTTCCCCCCCATCTCCTTTCCGCCCCATCTCCTTTCCGCCCCATCTCCTTTCCCCCCCATCTCCCTTCCGCCCCATCTCCTTTCCCCCCCATCTCCTTTCCGCCCCATCTCCTTTCCCCCCCATCTCCTTTCCGCCCCATCTCCTTTCCGCCCCATCTCCTTTCCCCCCCATCTCCTTTCCGCCCCATCTCCTTTCCGCCCCATCTCCTTTCGGCCCCTGGATGCCCTTAAAGCTCTTCGTCTCCCCTTTTCGGTCACCCTCTGCCCCTTCCACCACCCTCCGCCCCCGTCCTTCTAGGTCCGTTCATGGGCGGCAGCAGTACCCCCCTCCCCAGATACCACCTCCCATTCAGCACACACCCTCACGACTTTTGAGGCGCCTCAAAAATCGTTCATGGGCAGCAGCAGTACCCCGTCCCCAGACACCAGCTCCCATTCAGCACATACCCTCACGACTGCTCTTATTTCCCCTTTATCACCCTCTGCCCCTTCCACCACTCTCCGCCCCCCTCCTTCCAGGTCCGTTCATGGGCGGCAGCAGTACCCCCCTCCCCAGGTACCACCTCCCTGCACCATTTATTCGGCACAGCCCCTCACGTGTGGCTCTCAGCAGGGCACGAGCAGGCAGTGTGGTGCAACCAGCCCGTGGCTCAGGTGTGTGATGGTATGCGGTGGTGTGTGGTGGTACGCAGTCTTGTGTGGTGGTAGTGCCGGTGTCAGCCTGTGCTGTGCCGCAGCACATCCCCTCATCTGTGGGGCTCTCAGCAGGGCACGAGCAGGCAGTGTGGTGCAACCAGCCCATGGCTCAGGTGTGCGGTGGTGTGTGGTGATATGCGGTGGTATGTGATGGCATATGATCAACCCACATTCTTAACCTACCCGCCCTCAGCATTCCCATGCCTCCTATCATCACTGGTCAACCCATGCACATACAACCCATGCACATACAACCCATGCACATACAACCCATGCACGTACAACCCATGCACGTACAACCCATGCACATACAACCCATGCACGTACAACCCATGCACATACAACCCATGCACGTACAACCCATGCACGTACAACCCATGCACATACAACCCATGCACGTACAACCCATGCACATACAACCCATGCACATACAACCCATGCACGTACAACCCATGCACGTACAACCCATGCACATACAACCATGCACATACAACCCATGCACGTACAACCCATGCACATACAACCCATGCACGTACAACCCATGCACGTACAACCCATGCACATACAACCCATGCACATACAACCCATGCACGTACAACCCATGCACGTACAACCCATGCACATACAACCCATGCACGTACAACCCATGCACATACAACCCATGCACATACAACCCATGCACATACAACCCATGCACGTACAACCCATGCACGTACAACCCATGCACATACAACCCATGCACGTACAACCCATGCACATACAACCCATGCACATACAACCCATGCACGTACAACCCATGCACGTACAACCCATGCACATACAACCCATGCACGTACAACCCATGCACGTACAACCCATGCACGTACAACCCATGCACATACAACCCTTCTCTCTTCCATCCCCCATCCCATCCCCATCCCCCTTCTCCCCTTCCCTCCCATCCCTACCTCTCCTCTGGGTCCTGCCCCAAGCTCGCCCACGTCCTCCTGTCCCTCGTCAACCCACGCACATCCAAGCCCTTCTCATCCCCTAACATGCGCCGTGCAATCATCTCCTGCCACCTGTCCTCCCCACCTCCCCACTTCTCTCCCTTCTCTCACATCACCCCCTTTTCTCCCACAGCTCGCCCACGCCCTCCTATCCCTCGTCAACCCACACACGTCGCAGCCCTTCTCCTCCCCCAACACACGCCGTGCAATCATCTCCTGCCACCTGTCCGCCCCGCCTCTCCTACTCCGGCCGTTGCTGCTTGGATCCCCAGACAGAGCAGCTTCACCCGCTTCACTCCATGAGCCCACCGTGCAGCAGACAGAACAGGAGAAACAGCAGCATAAGGAGCAGCAGAAGCAGCAGCAGGAACAGCAACAGCAGCAGCAGAAACAGAAACAGCAGCAGCAGAAACAGCAACAGCAGCAGCAGAAACAGCAACAGCAGCAGCAGAAACAGCAACAGCAGCAGCAGAAACAGCAACAGCAGCAGCAGAAACAGGAACAGCTGCAGCAGAAACAGCAACAGCAGCAGCAGAAACAGCAACAGCTGCAGCAGAAACAGCAACAGCAGCAGCAGAAAATGCAACAGCAACAGCAGAAACAGCAACAGCTGCAGCAGAAACAGCAACAGCAGCAGCAGAAACAGCAACAGCAGCAGCAGGAGCAGCAACTGAAGTGGAAGCAAGAGCAGAGGAGTGACGGGTACACATCAGTGCAGCTGAGCTCAGGCCCGTTCGTACACAAATGGGCCTCACACGCCCATGAGTCTCTCTCTTTCCACATCAACCTGCCTGTGAGCTTTGGCTGTTCAGGGTACAGGTATAGGAATTCTTTTAGCACATATAGCATTCTACCTTGGTGTAAAAGTTTTAAGGCGCTCAAGCCTTCCCACGCCCATAAGTCACTCTCCTTCCACATCAACCTGCCTGTGAGCCGAGATGGCTGCTCAGAGTGTTGTGGCATTTACAGTGTGGCATTTACAGTGTTCTACCTTTCGTGTAAATGCCTGTTAGCTGAGAGAGTGGCATGTACAGTGGTCTACCTGTCGTGGAAAGTTACTTCTGAGGATTCTCATCTTCCCCTCCCCTCCCTTGTCCATCCTCCGTCCCTTCCATTTCTCCAATCAAATTCACCAGATCTATCAAACCAATATCATATCTGTTTTTGTTTGTGGTGAAAGGGGAGGGGGGGGGGGGGGGGGGGGGGGGGGGGTGGGGCGTGGATCACATGTTATCGCACATTCCATACACTCTCGACACTTTGCTTCTTGTATCAGTTCTGTTTCTGTCGAGGCCATAAGTAGGGATGAGCAAGGTGGCGAACACCTGTTTGGTTCGCCTCGAACAAGTTCGAGGCGAACCGAACAGGTTTTGTTTTTTAGCTCAAATCGTTCGCCGAACAGTGTTCGGCCGAACACACCTCCACAGGCGAACAGCGAACACCTGTTTTTTCCTAAACTGTTCGCCGAACCGAACACTGTTCGGTTCGGCAAAAGAGGGTGTTCGACAAGGGGCGAAGACGAACATGTTCGTGTTCGCCCTTTGCTCATCCCTAGCCATAAGAATTTGGGTACCCACCCAAACTCATTCCCTTCTCGAATCTCCTCCTGCCTCCCACCCCAAACCATCCCGCTCCCAAAAACGTATCTTACAGATTGAAGCACCATCACCCCACACAGCAGGCGGTAGCAGCAGGGCCCTGGTTCTTCTATCGAATGTGCTCCCATGCGACGGCATGAATCTCACCCTCGTTATAAGCACACAGAAGGGGGCCGGGGAGGAGAGCTATGAAGAGGATCCCCTCGATATAAAAACGCAGGAGGAGAGGAGGCAGGGAGACGATAAGAGGGTGAAAGGGGAGGGTCAGGGAGAGCAGGAGGCTAGGAAAATGGGAGTGAGGAGAGACCGTATGGATTGTGGGAGTAAGGCAGGGGAGGTGGAGGGACGGTTTGGGGAGGAGGAGGGGAGTTGTGGCGATGGAAGTGAGGGTGACGTGTCATCCTATGTTTTGACACGGCTGCTCGTGCCTCTGCCCTCCCCACCCGGAAGCAGTGCTTTTGTAAGTGCCGTAAAGTGCATCACTCAATCCCGCACTGCCAATTACAAATGAAGATAAACAAAAACGTTAAAAAAAGGGGTGAAATGTTCAGTTCCTAAGGCTTACGGTTTGGGGCTTTAAATATGAACAGTCTAGTAATTGTGCTTCTATTTCCAACCAGCCTCTACTCGCTCTTCCTTGCCTCCCTTCCTCCCAGTCCCTCCCAGTATCATAGGCATCACAGCAGGTCACAGGGCTGCTGTGCTCATGCTGCCTCTGCCTTCGCCTCCCCTTGCTTCCCTTCCCTCCCTCCCAGTCCCTCCCAGTATCACCGGCATCACAGCAGGTCACAGGGCAGGTGCCCCAGCCGTCCCCTCTTGCCCTGCTCTTACTGCCTCTGGAGATAGCAGACGGGGGTGGGGCTGGTCGTGTGAGGACGGCTACTCTGCATGTGAATATCAATACCAAGGTGCGGAGTTCAATTCCCAGCGTAACCACCAGTGCACTCACACTTTGAGACGTCTTCACAGCCAGTGTCATCTCTCGATCCGCAATCATTTCTCTTAATCCGTGTTCCTCGTGTTCCTCGTGTTCCCCGTGTTCCTCTTGTTCCTCGTGTTCCTCGTGTTCCTCTTGTTCCTCGTGTTCCTCGTGTTCCTCTTGTTCCTCGTGTTCCTCGTGTTCCTCGTGTTCCCCTTGTTCCTCTTGTTCCTCGTGTTCCTCTCCATCCATGCACAAACCTCGCCCCCCTCTCCACATCTTTGGGAGCTGATCATGGGCGCAATCACACGCAACCTCCATCTCTTTTCCTTCCTCCATCCGTGTTACTCTTGCTTCACTGCACAGGGGAAATATCGCCCCCCTCTCCACTTCCTCTCTGTGGAGCTTATTTCTAGAGGCGCCTCAAAGCAACACTCCCACCTGCCTTCCGTTCTTCCTTCTCTCCCTTCTTCCTTCTCTTCCTTCTTCCTTCTCTCCTCTTCTTTATCAGGGCAAGCCTCGCCCCCCTCTGCACTTCCTCTCGGTGGACCTGACACCACTCAATCTCCGCCTTCCACTCTCATCCTCCTCCTCCTCCTCCTCCTCCTCCTCCTCCTCCTCCTCCTCCTCCTCCTCCTCCTCCTCCTCCTCCTCCTCCTCCTCCTCCTCCTCCTCCTCCTCCTCCCCCTCCACCTCCACTCTAACCCACTCCTCCCCGCCAAAGTCTCTCTCCCTGCTATCATTGCTCGTCTCCATCGTTCAGCCTCTACACCTGGTAAGGCATTCCTCCGCATGGCCAGGGAAGGTGGGGGAAAGCTAGATGGAAACAGTAGAAAACAAGTCTACAGTAAATTAGCACTTATGAGCTGAAAAAAAAAAAAAACCAACTTGTTTTGGTAAACTCCAAGCAAGAATAGCCCTGTGTGTAGAAAAAGTACCGTGTGACATTATACCGAGTTGACTTTTGAGTCGACTCAAGAGTCAACTCCTCCACCACCACTCCAACCCACTCCTCTCCGTCAAAGACTCTCTCCCTGCTTTCATTGCTCTTCTCCATCGTTCAGCCTCTACACCTGGTAAGGATGCAAGCTTTTGAGGCGCCTCAAAAGACATATGGTAAGGATTCAACCTCCCAATGGAATAGCAGCAAACCCGAGGAAAACGATTAAAGCAATTAAGGAAGCATGTGCTTGAAGCAAATCTTTCAGCCTCTACATCTGCTAAACCATGTCTCGGTTTGGTACTGACGCTCTTTAACTTATTCACACTAATGCTAATGCTTCACCTGCGTGCAGCCACTATCATCAATCTCCGCCAATCGGAAGCAACAGCAGCAGCAGCATCAGGGACAGGAGCAGCAGCCGCTTCTGTCCGTTTTCTCGCTCCCACCTGCTGCTGCTCATCTCTCTCTGCACCTGCGCTTGCTGCCCTCCCAACCTCAAACCACCTCCAGCGTGTCCCTTGGTACGTTTCCCCACTTTTTTGAGACGTCTGCATTTGAGTTTCCTGACGTCTGCATTTGAGTTTCCTGACGCCTGCATTTGAGTTTCCTGACGTCTGCATTTGAGTTTCCTGACGTCTGCATTTGAGTTTCCTGACGTCTGCATTTGAGTTTCCTGACGTCTGCATTTGAGTTTCCTGACGTCTGCATTTGAGTTTCCTGACGTCTGCATTTGAGTTTCCTGACGTCTGCATTTGAGGTTCCTGACGTCTGCATTTGAGGTTCCTGACGTCTCAGCATCTGAGCTTTTAGACATGTCAAGATCTCAACCCCCCACCCATCATCGACCTCCACTTGCTGCCCTCCCAACCTCAAACCATCTCCAGCGCTTCCCCACTTACGGGACATCTCAAATGTTAATATCGGACATTTAAACCCGCTAGTAGGGATCCTCTTATTAACAGCGTATGGATGCCACCAGATGGGAATCGTCCCTCTCTTCATCCCCACTCTCCCATCTCCCCCCCATCCCATTCCATCCCCCTTTCGCCCATTCCATCCCCCTCTCCCCCATTCCATCTCCCCCATCTTCTCCATTCCATCTCCCCCATCTTCTCCATTCCATCTCCCCCATCTTCTCCATTCCATCTGCCCCATCTTCTCCATTCCATCTCCCCCATCTTCTCCATTCCATCTCCCCCATCTTCTCCATTCCATCTCCCCCATCTTCTCCATTCCATCTCCCCCATCTTCTCCATTCCATCTCCCCCATCTTCTCCATTCCATCTCCCCCATCTTCTCCATTCCATCCCCCCCATCTTCTCCATTCCATCTCCCCCATCTTCTCCATTCCATCTCCCCCATCTTCTCCATTCCATCTCCCCCATCTTCTCCAGGAGCCCAGCCGAGTCCCACCAGGTGTCACCCTGCTGCTGCTATCCTGGCATCTGCTCACACTGCTGCTCCTGCAGCATCTGAGACTGCAGCAGCCAGTGCGAGCCACCGGAAAAGCTGCTTACAACGTGAACATGAAGGGAGCTATAAGATCCTGTCGTCCCATACCTTCCTCCGCTCCACAGTCCTTGAGCTCGACTCTCCCCCGCCACACCTCATGCGCCCCTCCTGCCGTCACTGCCACTATCACCACAATCACCCCCATTGTCACCGACGCGATTGCCACCATTCCCAATGCCGCTCGCAGACGAGCGAGCAGGAAGGCGGGGGAGCAGCGGCACACAGTAGCTCTCGTTGTGACGCGTCTCAGAACCCGCAAAGTCATGCCAAGAGCAATGCCGCCGGGAGTTTTTTGAGAGACGGTTCAGAGGAGGTGGAGCATTGGGGCAGAGATGAACTCGCCTTGATGCTGCTGGTAAGGTTTATTGAGTTGACAAAAGGAGGGGTGGGTTTTCCTCGAGTGACTGTGTGTGGTGGCTCAGAGGAGGTGGTGCATCTTGGCAGAGAGGACGGACTCCCCTTGATGCTGCTGGTAAAGCCTGCATGGTTGAAACCAAACTCACATCCCTTCTCTCCCACCCTCCCTTGCCCGCAAACACCCTGCCCACCTCTCTCCTCTCTTCCTTGCCATCCCGTATCAGAAATCATACTCTTTGCATGCTTTCCCTCATCCACTCCCTCTCTTAGAGTCTCAGAATTCCTACTCCCTTACTCACCAAGTTCTGAGACGTTTCAAATCCCTTCCTCCCTCCCTCGGTGCCTCCACTTCCCACTCCCTCTACTCCCCCCACTCCCCCCACTTCCCCCACTCCCTCCCTCCAGGTGGATCCCTCCTGCCCCTCCTCCCTCCTCATCTCCGTTGACCTTCCACGATCCCTCGCCTCCCTCCTCCTCTCCTCCCTCCCTCTCCTCATCGGCTCGGCCCTCTCCCTCGCTCTCTGCACCTCCTCCTACCTCTTCTCTCACTCACTCTCCCACTCCTCCTCTCCCTCGCTCCACACTCTCCCTTCTCTCCTCTCTCTCATCGCCTCCTCTCCTTGGCCTTCTTTCTCTAGCCCTGTTCCACGCTCCCTCCTCTCCTCGCTCATAATCTTCTCTCTCTTGCACTCCCTCTCTCACTCCTCTCACTTTTCACTCCCCCTCTCTCACTCCCATCCTCTAGAATTACCCCCCACACACTCAGGATTCTCCACTCTCCAGGTTCATTCTGCTGCTTCCTCTTCCTCTCACCCTCTCCCTCTCTACCACTCCCTCCTCTCTCCGCTCCTCCTCTTCCTCCCTTCCCTTCCAAGACTCTCTCCTTCACTCACCTCGTTTCTTCACACACTCACCTCCTCCCTTCACTCCTCCCTCCACTCCACCCTTCCCTCCTCTCTCCGCACCCTCCTTCCCTCTTCTCTCCAAATCAACCCAAACCGACCACACCATGCCACGTCATTCTTACTTTTCCTTGCATCAGCACGGTGCATGCTGAGCTGTATTTTCTCCACGCTGACATCAGCACTCGTCTCAATCCTCTTAGCAGTTGTAATCGCATCAGCAATTCTCTGCCTCCTCGTTGCTTTGCTAAAAGTGACCCTTAGCATCATCTCCTGGTGTTGCCGCTCCCGGTTTGGTGTATGGGAAGATGAAGGCACAAACATCCGCATGGTAAGTTCAAATAAAACCCGCGCACAAACCTACGTCGCGACACCTCATCAGGCTCTTCGATCGCAATAAGTCTGACTGAGTTTACCATTCTGTTTTCAAGCACACAATTTTTTACTTGTTGCATCGCCCATTCCTGCATCTTCTTGATTCATCCTGTCTGCTTGAAAGAATTGGTAGCGAGATTAATCCACGTTCTTCACCAATCTATCCTTGTGTGCTTTCCAAACTCCTGCCATCCCCTTGATTTCAACTGCCAACAACAGGGGTATTGGCCCGCACTCCTCTTCCTCTTCCCCCTCCTTCCGCTCGCCCTCTTCTCCCCTTTCCTCGCTCTCCTCTTGGCTGCTGTTGTTCAAATCACACGGGCATCTCAAGCCAAGTCAAGGTGAGATGAAGGCAGGTGGTTTTTGTTTGTCTGCTGTTTTTCGAGGGGGCACTCAAGTCTAAATCCATGTATGCACAATTTGAATCAGCGTCTTCTCCCTCCACTGCCTGCTGGTTGGTTCTTGAGAATTCTCAGAAACAAACGTGCCTGCTGTTGAGCCAACTCAAAAGTCAAGTTTCATTCAATTCCATGCACAGTTGATTCGCCGTGATGTCCATTTTTGAGACGTCTCAAAAGTCGTCGTGGTGTCCATCCACTATCGTGGTGTCCATCCTCTATAGTACCAGTCGACTTGGTACTTTCACAACTCATGAGTTCAATAAGGATTCCAAACAGAATATTCCTTGTCCACTACCGGTATCATGCCTGTTGCTATCCACCAATCACAGGACTTCCCTCTCAGTGGTATCAGAGCTTCTTCTGGCCGATGCCCTCCTGCTGCTTGTCACTGCCCTCTTCCACCTGCCTCCCTTCATTGCTGTCCTACACGCCAAGGTCTGTTTGCATGTGTGTGCTTGCGTGCGTACGTGCGCGCGCGCACACACGCACACACACACGCATGCACGCACACATGCATGCACGCACACGCGCACCTACACACACAAACACACACACACACACACACAGACACACACACACACACGCACGCACACACACACACACACACACACACACACACACACACACACACACACACACACACACACACACACACACACACACACTCAGCGGACGCGCTCCTTCACAGCAAGTCGCACACAGCTCTTTTGAACAACCTGCTGCCCACTTTCGAGGCAGTTGGAAGTTGGAACCATCATCTCATTTTCTCTCCTCTCCTCTCTTTCTCTCACCTCCACTCACTTCTCCCGCCTCCTGCCCCCATCCCATGCAGGCATCACTATCCATGGCCCCTTTCGAAGACATCCTGCCCTCCATAGCATCACTACTGCTTATAGTCACTCCACCACTCTGCTTCTCCCAGAACTCCCCCACCCTTCCTTTCAAGCCAGCAGTGTTGCAGCAAGTGGTGTTTTTTGTCTGCTATCTGTGCGGGGTGGCATCGTTTGTTTTTTCTCTGTACCTAGTTCCGCCTTTTTGTCTCAATGTGGTTGCTGTAGTTGCTGTTTCGAGATTCGTTATGTACCTCCCCTGTTTGTAAGTTATGATCCTTCACTATATTGTGTTCCATAGCTACTCATGCCCGTCAAAGTATGCTTAAATAATCAAACCGCGCTGTACCACCCACCAGGGATTTTTTTATCAGAGTTTGGTAGTAGTGCATAAAGCCTGGGTTCCTTACTTCGTAAGGATATTCAGTGTTGGGGAAATAGGAACTTTTGATGCCCATAGTATATTTTTTCAGAAGTTAAGTTTTCTCTGATAAATCAGAGTAACGCTCATACCGTCATACCCCGGATATACCCCCATGGGGGGCACTAATAAAACAGGTTTTTTTAAGGGGATGGGCTTATAATCGAGTAAATTTATAAGCGCCGGCGTTTATAAAATGACATATATATTTTTATTTTTTTCACACCAAGCTGTAGATCTCGTGCTTGCCTTTTCGATTAGTCGAGTTTACATAGGGTCGTCTGTGAAATTCTCACGCGCGCTGGGAGATACACCCAATCTGACTCACAACCAGCTCCTGAGAGCTCATGCTGACTGGACCCGCATCCAGTGCAGGGTCCGAATGTGAAGGGAACCGAATCTGCAAAACATTCGCATGCTAAAGTAAATATCGTTACAGCGTTTTGAACACATTTCAAAAATTAAAAGTTTACGTGCGCTTATAATAAAAACACGTTATTTCAGGGGGTGCGCTTATAATTGAGCAGCGGATATAAGCGCCATGCGCCAATTAAAAGCGCCAGGCGCTTATCCGAGGGTGGCGCTTATATCCGGGGTATGACGGTAATGAACCCTGAATTTCTGAGTTCCCTAAAAAACAGCTCTGGAAATCCGAGTAGTGAAAATCCCAAAAAAAGGGGTGGCACCCACGCTTATATCGATGGACCAATCAGCTTCTATATTCCTCTTCCTCTTCTTCGTCCTCCTCTTCCTCCTCTTCTTCCTCCTCCTCTTCCTCTTCCTCCTCTTTCTCCTCTTCCTTCTCTTCCTCCTCTTCCTCCTCTTCCTCCTCTTCCTTCTCTTCCTCCTCTTCCTCCTCTTCCTCCTCTTCCTCCTCTTCCTCCTCTACCGGCTTCTCATCATCAAACTCACCAGAGACTGGAGAGTCAAGGCTGTCCTCTGCTGCCACCTCCAGCCCCCCTTGAGAACCTCCCCCCCTGTTGTTGACCGCCGGTTAGTTGTGCGCAATGTATGCCATATCGTGACACTTTTCAAAACCCAACCTCCTGCGCCGGTTAGTGCGTACCGAATCCCACTCTGTCCACTTCCAATCGCAAGTCGATGCAGACACGGACTGAGAGGGAACATGGCATGCAAGGGTCATGATCTCGGGGTGGTCAGAGTCGTGCGTTGTCCACCATTGTACCATGCTAAGCTTCCCTTCCTTCACCGCGTCCCGCTCAGCCCATGCGGCACACGAGTGAAATCTACCATCTATTGAATCTCCGAAAGCAAAAAAACCGTCCACCAGGGCCGCATAAGAACTTCCTTCACGTGCGGAGTGAAATATACCGTTCACCAGGGCCGAAACTTTCAGTTTCGCACGAGGAATTTGCAGTGGCTGTCAGTGTAGGCCTTGAAATCCCTTGATATCTTCGGGTCCCTACCGAAAATCTCTCGGTCCTGGTTGGTCGGATTGAGAATTTGGCCCACCTCGTGCAAAGTACATGCAAATCTCCCGTGCCACCTCTCCTTCACAAGCCTCAAAATTCCATCCTTCTCCGCTTCACCCAACAACTCCCCATCTCCCTTCAGTACCACATCCACATCTTCTGTCAATTGCCGCATCATGTCATACATCCGACCCATCATTGGTCTGGCGCTCGAATCCGTCTCCTGCATCACCACAAACACCAGCTTCATCAGCTTCACAAACAACTCAGCAGCCTTCCACCACGTCGAGTCCGCGACAAACTTGGCGAATTCCTCCGCCTCCGCCTTCTGCTTCGTCCCCATAACCCACACCTTCTATGCTTTGCTCGACACCATCCGCGCCAGCTGCGGCCGAAGCTCACAAAGTCTAGACTTGCAATGTACTATGCTCCGAACCTTGCGTTTTGCGACCTCAACACTTGCAACACCTTGCCATCTGGCTGTCCTATGCTCCTCAAGTATTAGCGAATCGTGTCGCCGTGGTTGCGGAGAAACCCAATAAGCTCATCCGTTCTGTCAACCACCCCCTTGGCCCATCCCATCTTCCCAAGGTCCTCCATTAGCAGATTCAATGCATGCACCGCAGAAGGAACGTACTCAACGTGCGGCCACTCACACGTCAGTTCTCGGCAAGTGCCAGCGTAGCTACTGCCACTGTCCATGCAGAGATCAACGATGTTCTCCGGCCCGACTTTCTCCACAATCGGCTGTAGCATGCTGGCAATGTAGCCGGATATCTTGACCTCCATACTGCAATCAATTCTTTCCATGAACAATCTACCCGAGTCGTGAACAAGCCACACGTTGGCTTGCAACCGGCCGCACTTGTCTGTCATCGTGTCAATCGCGAGGGTGACGCCACACCGCTTCTAGCTTGCTGCGATGGGCTCCAGTTCCTGCTCGATCAATACCCGGGACTGCTGCAATCCGGAGCCACCGATGTGACAGTGATCGGGGGGGGACGTAGCTACTTCCCGCACGTGCAATGGCTTGCACCGTGTTGCGCCAAAGCGGGTGATTAGCGTGCTGCTCGAGGATGCAGGGGCCGGCGTAGAGGAAGAAGATGGCCTCATCCACAGCATTTTTTGCTTCTAACGCCGCGTCTTCGGAGTTGTCAGTCATGCGGCTCCTCTTGGCACCACTGTTGACCCTGCTGAAGGACGTGCTCGCCGCCCTTTCCGTACCTTCCCGAGCCGCCTGGTTCTGTCATTGATGTCATCCATAAGGGAGGAGCTGTTGGGAGTGGGAGAGGCAAGGCGTGAGCTACAGGGGGGATTGAGACCAGAGAGCAGGGGTGAGGCTGCAGGGGGGATTGAGACCAGAGACAAGGGGTGAGGCTGTAGGGGGGATTGAGACCAGAGACAAGGCGTGAGCTGCAGGGGGCATTGAGACCAGAGACAAGGGGTGAGGCTGCAGGGGGGATTGAGACCAGAGACAAGGCGTGAGCTGCAGGGGGGATTGAGACCAGAGACAAGGTGTGAGTTGCAGGGGGGATTGAGACCAGAGACACGGTGTGAGGCTGCAAGGGGGATTGAGACCAGAGACAAGAGGTGAGGCTGCAGGGGGGGTTGAGACCAGAGACCAGGGGTGAGGCTGTAGGGGGGTGGGAGCATGAGTCAAGGGGTGACTATCTGCAGGGCAGGATGAAATATGAGGGTGAGGTTGCATGGGGGAGTGGGGTGGGGAAAGGAAGGGTGAGGCTACTAAGGGGAATGCGATCCAAAAAGGAGGGTTCAGGTTGCATAGGGGAATGGGATCAGGAAAGGAGGGGTGAGGCTGCAGAGGAGAATGGGAGCGGGAGGTAAGACGTTAAGCTGCAACGGGGGATGGGAGCAGAAGACGAGGGGTGGGGCTGCGAGGGGATCAAAACAGGGAGGAGAATGGGAGCGGGAAATCATGTTTCCAGAATGTTCTTCGCATGTACCCGTTTCTGGAGGGGTTGGGAATCATGCGAGGGTGTTGCTGGGGTGCGGCTTGGGGTTGTCGATTGGGAATGTCGCGGACATTTGGGAACCGCGCATCATTCCCGAATCTTGCTTCCAAGTTCGTGTTGGGTGCAAAATATTATTTTTGCACTGCAACTAGCCGCCTGTATGACGTTATGCGTTTTGTGTGTGTTCTCTGTGCATTCGATTTTGCATTTCGTTTCATGTGCTGTTGCTGTGGGATCATGATCAGTCATGACGGATCATGACGAGTCATGTTCATTCATGTCGGCTAATGTACGTTCATGTCTTTTTCATGGACGAACATGTGTGTTCATGAATATTATGTGTTTCATGAATGTTCTGTGTTTCATGAATGTCGAGTCATTTTCATGAGCGCTGTTGTGAGTGTCGAGTGTGTTTGGGGCTCGAGTCTGTTGACCAGGCCCTTTGACCAGTCTCGCGCTGAATAGCTCATCCGACAGAGTTCCGGCGGTCCAGTTTGCCAGGGACGACGCATGAGGTTGACGGGCCCAGCACCGCCGAGGCAAGGAACTGCTGCGCGTGCCTGCCTGCCAGGCTGGCCCAGGGCTGGATTGAGCGCACGCCCACTGCCCCTCAACCCCCCTGCGTAATTGAACAGCACCCCACGTTACCGGGTGGGGGCGGCGAACTCGCTTCACCTCGCGCGAGGGGAAGTAGCCCTAGGGCAAAGGCAGCCCTCGCCGTGGCCCTGCCCTCGACGACCTAGTAACCCTCTCGCGCTGCCCCTACGGGCAGGCGAGGGCCCGGCAAAATACTGATGCTCCACTCGGGACCCTCGGCCAATTCGCGACCCGTTGGCGTGTGGACACGTGTCTGCCCAGGGACGACGCTGCATGCCAGGCCCTTGTGACGTTGCATTCCACCAGACCCCACGCCTACCCACGCGAGCGGACGTGATGGGGCCGATGTGGCCCGGCGTCCGACGAGCATGCCATTGGACGAGGTTGCTGCTCAACGTGCCGAGCCACTTCGGCCTCTCGGCCGGTTTTGGCCACCGCCTTGGTCTGCGTACGTCGTGCCTTATCTTTGTGGACGGAGTGACCGACGCCTCATTTTGCTCTTCTCATTTCGCCTTTCACATTTCCCACCTCTGCGCCTTCCTCCGTCTTGCTGCTGCTAGATAGCCTGTAGTGTCGTGCTTTTGGTATCCAGTAGTGTCATGCCTTTGCAATCATGGAGTTGGATAGTGGCGCCGCTCACCCGACGCCGGGCGCCGCAACGCCGGCGCCGTCCTCGGCGGACTTCCCCCTGTACTTCAACATGGGCCGTGGCCTCACCTTCTCTTTTGACGAGAAGGACTTCGCCGTGCTGCGCGCCACGGAAAAAGACTTCAACGAGCCTTGCTTCGCACTCGCGCTCAAGTGAGTCCCTCCTTCAGTCAAGGTGGAACCCTTGTCCACTTTTGCTTTCCGTCGACTTAGTAGCTCTTTTTTAACCCGCCGACCTAGACGATGTTATTCGTTAGAATGAGTTACTAATCCGACGTGCAAGTTAGCGACGCTGTCCATGTCCATTTCCCGCCGACCTAGTAACTTCACTGTTCCGCCAACTTAGTACAGCATGATATAGCTCAGCCGACGAATTCTCCCGGCCATTTTCGCCGCATAGAACCGGCGGTCATTTTTTATCCCGACGACCTATAGGATGCTATTATTTGGAGCGCGTTACTAATTCGGTGTGCGAGTAAGCGACGACGTCCGTGTCTCTTTTTCCCGCCGACCTAGTAACCTCATTGTTCCGCCGACTTAGTAACTACATGCCGACTCAACGTTGCAGAATCAGTTACTACCGGTCGATAAGATTTCGGTCAACGAAAGGTTTTCACGCCTAGGTTTGTCGTGAGCGCGTCCATGTCGGCGTTCAAGGCTGCTATCCTATCTACTTTCGCCGGCAACGAGTTCGCAATCCTGAACCGATGCCAAATGTCCCCACGAGTTCGTTGACTGCAGGTACATGTGGAATCGCGAAGCTCCAATGGACTTGAAGCCGTGGATCATAGGGTGCAGCCGTCTTCGCGAGGCGATTAAGAAGAACGACCTCACCTGTTTTGAGTCGGTGTTGGACGCCGCTACCTATAATCACGACGTGAGAAAGTGCGATGTTGCGTTGTCATTGACGTCATGTTGGACTTCGATGTTTTAAATCGGCGTCACATGGTTCATGTGCAGGGTCGGGCCGCTTCCCGGGGTCCACTGCAGCGTTGTTGTGGTTCTTCGGCCCGGCGACTTGCTGAAGGCCGTTGACGTCAACACCGAGACCTCGTTCCGCCACCTAGACCCGAAGACTGCAAACTGGCTGCATTCGTCTGAGGCGCTCGCCGTGCTGAGGTAGGCATGCTTAAATTGGGAAGGCTCTTTACCAGGTTACTGGTTTCTCGACGGCGTCCCCACTGACTCTTTTGTGCACTGCTGTTGCAGCTTTTTCCGGCGCTGTGTTTTGGCCGAGCTTGGAAGAAGTGACAGGACATGGAAGTGGGCGCCTCCCGCTGAGGAGGTCATGGTGGCTCGACTCGCCGGTTGCGATGAGCCCACGCGCGACGTGAGTTTCTGTTGACCTTGTAGCCGATTTTAATTGGTCGTCTAACTGTGCTTGCGTTGGTACACCCTCGGCTCACCTAGCCTGCCCTTGCAACGGTTGTATGCAGAGATTGTCGGACATTGTGAAGAACGAGCAGGTCGGCACCGGATTGCATGCTGTGAGTGCGTTCGGATGGGTGGTCAGAGAGCGCGGAGCCCTGCTCAAGTCACATGCACCGGCGAGCACTAAGAACCCGATGGTTCAGGGGTTGAGGGCACTCAAATCGGCGCTAGTGGAATACATCAAGAGATGCGTTGCTGAGAGGCGGTCGGCGCCGTCCAATCACCCTACTGGGCCAAGTACCTCCCCCCTCGACGACGACGGAATCGAAACTAAGACGGCGTCTCAAGCTGGCGTGGATCGCCCGGCGTATTCCGGCGCGCACGACACTAGAACTAGCGGTCATGTTGGCGGCGGTGGCGAGGCCGACTTGGTAGGAGGAGAGGAGCGGAGGGCAGGGTCCGTTGAGGAGTCATCTACTGACTCAGAGTCAGAGTCGGGATCCGAGGAGGAGGATGAAGAGGAGGAGGAGGAGCGTGCAGGGAAGAAGGCTGTTGGTGCTGAGGCGGACACAGATGCCGACCACGGTGCTGGTCGTGACCCGACGTCGACCGGCGGGACAAACGGAACTGCAGCGTCGGCTAAGGACAAGCCTCGTAGGAAGGCACCGGTGCATGGTTAGCCTGCGTCAACCACATCTTCAAAGTCGACGTTTGCAGCCGTACTTGCTCACGTGAAGCGTCTGGAAGAGGAGAACATGAAACTGAGGGACGAGAATGCGGGGCTGCGGTCGGATCTGGTTACCGAGAGGTGTTGGACGGAGGGGTTGTTGGCGACGGCGGCTGAGTGCCTCGCGGCTATCAAGTCGCTTACCGAACGCGTCTCCGCCGCCGAGCAGACCGCGGGGACACACATCTCTACAGCCACAGCAGCCGTGACCGGCGTCTTCACCAAGGTGCTGGACGATCGGGTTGCTCTGGTCAAGGCGTGCAGCAGCATGGCGACGCCGTTGTTGGGGGAAATCACAAAGGGCTTGGACAAGCTGGCCGTCGCCCGCCGTGATGCCGACGTGCGGTTGGGGAACCACGTGACCAGCGTGGGGGATAACGTTAAGGCGGTGTTGGCCGATTACATCCAGACCAAGTTAGCCTCAACTTCCACCAACATTGTCGGCGGCTTATCCTGCAGCATCGTGCCGCCCACGCCCAGTCCATCCCCCACGCTGCCTGAAGAAGTCATCAAAGCAATGAGGGATGACATTGTTCAGGCGGTTACCGCCTTCACGCAGCAGGCGCTGGGAACCGTCGGCTTCACGCTTCTGGCCAACGTGCTTGCTACAATGAGGCTGGGGTGGCATGGTTTGTCCCCGTCGGCCGGCGACCTGGAGACCGCGCAAAGGCATAGGCCGGAAAAAAGGGCTGGCAGCGGAAGTGCAGCCGACAGTGACAATGCGGGAAATTCAAAGCGGAGTAAAGGTGTTCGTGGGGAGTGAGTAGTCGGCGGCGACGTTCCAGATTGTGCTCAGTCCGGTTCTCCCGTCCTCGACATGCTGAGGAGAAAAGGGGCGACAACTCGGCTCCTTGGCCCGCAAAGTAGCGGCGGAGCTAGCGGCAGCTCGGAGGGCAGGACTACCACCGAGGAGGGTGTGCGAGCCGGCGGGTCTTCCACTCACGGCGGCGAGGAGTACGTGAAGTCGAAGCGCTAAAGGACCTACTGCACCATGTGTGATTGAGTCAAGGTAATGGTGCGCTGTGCTCTGTCCCGGGTGAACTGCAAGCCAAGGTAACTGTGCAGTTCACCCAAGTCTGTGCACGTGTGTCTCTTCTGCTGCTTGGACTTCACGTGGGCGAGTCCAGCAGTGTCAGGAGTGGCAAAGACCAAGTCGTCGACGTACATGAGGATGTAGAACGGCGGCAAAGAGGTGACGGTGTGCAGAAGCAGCGACGGGTCGGCTGTAGAAGGGCCGCAAGTGTGGTCCTCAGTGTGTCGTGCCACTCACGGGGCGCATGGCGGAGACCGTAGACTGGCCGCCGGAGGCTCCACTGGGTACCAGGAGGAAACGACCCAGTGAAGCTAGGAGGGCGGCGCAGCCAGATCTCTTCGTGGAGGCTACCCTGCAGGAAAGCTGTGCTGAAGTCAAGAGAGTGAAGCTCGTAGTCGCGCTGAGCGGTTATGTGCAGTAGCACCCGAAGAGTGGTCATTTTCGGGGTGGGAGAGAAGGTCTGAAAGTAATCAAATCCGTGTCGCTGACTGAAGCCTCGAGCCACGTAACGCGCCTTGAAGACAGGCGGAGAACCCGGCGGCCACTTCACCATGAAAATCCACATGCTAGTGAGGATGTTTGTGTTAGAATATTATAGCTTATACATTTGTGTAGGCTGTAGTGGGGTAGCCCATAAGGGGTACAGCCCAATTAGGGTTAGTACTTGTACCCAACTCTTTCATGGTTCAATCATTCTCTCGTTCTCATCTTCACATGGTATAGAGCTGGTTCCCTCGTGGGAACTGCTCCTTGGGCCCACCGACCTTTTTTTTCCTGCCCGGCCCCTTTTACGGCCCCTAATGACCCCGTCGCTCCTCCCTTTCCGCCCCGTCGTGCCGCCCTTGCGGCCCCGTCGCGTCGCCCTTTACGTGACCCCGTCGTCACCCCTTCCTGCGGCCCAGTCGCCGCCCTTTCAGCAGCCCCGTAGCCACCCTTTTAGCGGCCCCGTCGCCGCCCTTCCACGGCCTCGTCGCCGCCCTTCCACAGCCTCACCGCCCGCCCTTACAGCGGCCCTGTCGCCGCCCTTCAGCAAACCCGTCGCCGCCCGCCCTTTTTGCGGCCTTGTCGCCCGCCCTTCCGCGGCCCCGACATCGCCCTTCCGCGGCCCCGTTGCCGCTCTCCAGCGCCCCCCCGCCGCCCTTTAGCAGCCCCGTCACCGCCCGCCCTTACACCGGCCCCGTCGCCCGCCCTTCCACAGCCCCGACACCGCCCTTCCGCGGCCCGGTCGCCGCCCTTCAGCGGCCCCGTCGCCTCCCTTCCGCGGCCCCGTCGCCGCCCTTTCAGCGGCCACGTTGCCGCCCGCCCTTTCAGCGGCCCATCGCCGCCCTTTAACTAGCCCGTCGCCACCCTTTCAGCGGCCCCGTCGCCGCCCTTCCACGGCCCCGTCGCCGCTCAGCCGCTCAGCGTCCGAGCCGCCGAGCAACCGAGCCGCCCAGAAGCCGAGCCGCCGAGCAGCCGAGCCGCCCGACAACCGAGCCGCCTGACAACCGAGCCGTCGAGCAGCCAAGCCGCCCGACCACCGAGCCACCCTGCGGCCGAGCTGCGCAACCACTGAGCCGCCCAGCAGCTGAGCCGTCGAGCAGCCGAGCCGCCCGACCGCTCCACTTGCCTGGTAAGAGCAGCGCCTCTGCCACTGCACTACCCTGCCCCACTGTACTTACTGCATGTCTACTGTTGTCATGACCTCCCCTAGTGTTCTCACCTTTGACGCTGAGGGTCGAGCAGTTGACTTTGAGGCCTGGGTAGCTTTTCCTCCAGTGCGATAGGGCACACGGTCTCTCCTTGTTTGACCTCACTTCTTGTGCCTCTCCTGCCCCTGCTGCTCATGCTGACGCCACTGTTCGATCCCAGTGGGCCACGCGTGATGCTGCTGCTCGCCTTGCTGTGCGCCGCCGCTTACCAACCACTGAGCGTGCACCCTTTAGCCAGTAAAAGAGTGCTCAGACCTTGTATGATGCAGTAGTTGTACGCTACTCTTCCCCTGCCACTGCTGCACTGAGCCGCCTCATGCTACCGTACCCCTTCCCTGACCTTGCTGCCTTTCCCACAGTCGCTGACCTCATTACGCACCTCTGCACTAGTGCCACTCGCTACCACGCTGCGCTTCCTGCTGAGTTCTGCGCCAAGAACCCCCCCCCCCCCCCCCCCCCCCCCCCCCATGTACATCACCCTCTACTACATAGTCACCCGACTCCCTGACTCTCTCCGGGTAGACAGGGACCACTTCCTCTCAGTTTGCCCCACCACTCTCACCGTTGATCTACTCGAGAAGGCCCTCCTAGCGATAGAGAAGAGCATAATCGCTGTAGAAGCCTCTCGTGATGACCCTCGCACCCCCGTCTTTGAGGGGTGTTCTCCCTCCCCTCTCTTGCCCTCTGTTGCCTCTGCTGCTGCGGCCGACCTCGTTGGCTTCGAGTCGGTTGGCGTTGCGTCTACCCCGAGCGGGAAACGCCGCACCGGCATTTGCAAAGGGGGCAAGGGCGCTAGAGGGGCTGGAGGGGGCGGTGGAGGTGGTGGTGGAGGCAGTGGAGGGAGTGGGGGTGGTGGAGGGAGTGGTGGAGGGGGTGGCGGCGGCGGCGGAGGCGGTGGTGGTGGCGGAGGGAGCGGAGGCGGTGAAGGGACCGGAGGCGGCAGAGGTGGCAGAGGAGGCGGAGGTGGAGGAGGCGGCGAAGGTGGCGGTGGCGGCAGCGGTGGTGGAACGGGTCACGATTCTGCGCAGAGGAGTGCCTCAGGTGGTGGTCCGCGACAGGAGCAGCAGAGTGGTGTCACCCTATCCCCTCAGCAGCTTCGTGAGTGGTACGCTGCGCGTCAGCGCGGTGGGGGTACTGGTCTTGCACCTACGTCCTCTGTATCGGCCACCGCACTGGTGAGCAGTGCGGGGGACGGCACTCCACCCAGCATTGCTTCGGCTGCCTGATGGATGCGTGGCGTCACCAGTTTCCTGACGCGACTAAGATCCCTCGCTGGGGAGAGCTGTCTATAGCGAGGGTAGCTATCTTTGATCTTGATTTTGATGCTATTCTTGCTGCCATGTATGCTGTGTATGATAGTGTTGAGGGTGACTGTTACCTGTGTGTTTCGCCTGACCCGGGCATTGAGACTGCTGCTTTAGGTCTTGGTGAGGCTGCTGCTCTAGGTGCTAGTGCGTCTGCTGCCCCAGGTGCTGGTGAGTCTGCTCTCTCAGGTACTACGTTGGCTCAGGCCTTCCACACCCTCACCCTTGACTCGGGTGCGTCCCGCTCCTTCTTTCAAGACCGCACCACTCTTACGCTGCTCACTCGGCCTGTTGTAGTCTCCCTAGCAGACCCCTTTGGGGTTCCTGTCCTTGCTAGCTTCTCCACTGTCTTACCATGCCTGGCAGCGCCCTCTAGCACCGTGTCATGTCTCTACCTCCCCTCGTTCTCTACTAACTTGGTGAGTGGAGCGGACCTACAAGATAGGGGGGTTGACTAGTTCACTCCTGCAAGTCAGCGAGTGACCCACTACACGTGTGCTCGTACATGCCGACACTTGGCCAGGGTCGAGCTTTTACACCCTTACTACAGAGTCTCCTCCGGCTGCTAAGTCTGCCCAGGTAGCTGCGTCGAGTCAGCTGTTTGCTGCAGCGTCCAGGTCTGGTCCTGAGTCAGCTCCCTGCTCGTGTCGTCCCTGTCCCACCAGACTCTCCTCTGGCACCACCGCCTTGGTCACCCCTCCTTGCCTCGTCTCCGAGGCATGGCCTCCCGTGTCCTTGTCTATGGTCTCCCTCGGTCTCTTCCTACCCTACCTCCGGGGCCTGGCCCTACCTGCGTCCCCTGCGTTGAGGGGCGACAACGCGCCGCCCCTCACTCCTCCGAGTTTCCTCCAACAGAGGCTCCGCTGCAGACTCTCCACATGGACGTGTGGGGCTCAGCGCGCGTTAGTGGGCAGGGGCGCGAGCGGTACTTCGTGCTGGTGGTTGGCGACTATTCGCGTTACACCACAGTCTTCCCCTTGCGCAGCAAGGGTGACGTCAAAGAGGTGTTGATCAACTGGATCCGCGCAGCTCGTCTCCAGCTCAGGGAGAGTTTCGGCTCGAACCTTCCTGTTCTGCGTGTGCACTCTGACAGAGGTCTGTGAGCTTTCTGTCATGCACACAGCATCCGCCAGACCTTCATGCTTCCACCCTCTCCACAGCAAAATGGGATTGCTGAGCGCCGCATTGGCATGGTCATGGACGTCGCTCGTACGTCCATGATGCATGCGGCTGCCCCCCATTTTATGTGGCCGTTTGCGGTTCAGTACGCAGCGCATCAGCTCAACCTTCAGCCCCGAGTCTCCTTGCCTGAGACCTCCCCCGCCTTGCGGTGGACGAGGAAGGTTGGCGATGCGTTTTGCGTTTCGGGTCTTGTCTGCGGACAAGCTGTCCTCCCGTGCTGTTCCCTGCGTCCTCCTTGGCTTCCCCCCTGACGCGCCAGGGTGGCAGTTTTACCACCCCACCTCGCGCCGTATTCTGTCCTCCCAGGACGTCACCTTTGACGAGTCGGTACCTTAATACCGTCTCTTCCCCTACCACACTGCGCCTCTCCCCCCGCCGCCGCTCTTCCTTGCACATGGTCCTCCCCCAGTAGACCCCCTCCCCCCTTAGGGTCCTGCCCCGTCAGGTGTGTCCCAGGTAGACGCAATCGAGCCTGTCGAGGTAGCTGTTGACTCTGGTGCTGCTAGAGGTGTTGAGCCTGCGGGTGCCGGGTCTGGGGGTGCTGGGACAGGGG